TGTCCTGCTTTTTGTTGATGTGGTGGATGATGATGGAATTTCGAATGTGGTACCATCCTGGCATCCTTTGGATGAATTCCACTTGGTCATGGTGTATGATCCTCTTGATGTATTTTTGAGTTCGGTTTGCTAATATTTGGTTGAGTATTTTTGCATCTATGTTCATCAGTGATATTGGTCTGTAATTTTTGTGTGTGTGGTGTGTTTGCCTGATTTTGGTATTAGAGTGATGCTGCCTCATAGAATGAGTTTGGAAGTATTTCCTCCTTGCTACTTTTTGGAAAACTTTAAGGAGTGGGTATTAGGTCTTCTCTAAATGTCTCATAAAATTCAGCAGAGAAACCATCTGGTCCATGTGTTTTGTTCTTGGGTAGTTTTCTAATTACTGATTCAGTTTCATTGCTGGTAATTGGTCTGTTCAGATTTTCTGTTTCCTTCTGGTCTTGGAAGGTTGTTTTTTTTCTAGAAAGTTGTCTATTTCTTTTAGGTTATCCTGTTTTGTTAGCATATTTTTCATAATCATTTATATTTCTGTGGTCTCCTTAGTGACTTTCTCATTTCTGATTCTGTTTATGTGTGTAGACTCTTTTTTTCTTGATAAGTCTGGCTAGGGATGTATCTATTTTGTTTATTTTCTCAAAGAACCAGCTCTTGGTTTCATTAATTCTTTCTATTTTATTCTTCTCAATTTTATTTGTTTATTCTCTGATTTTTATTATGTCTCTTCTTTTACTGACTTTGGGCCTCATTTGTTCTTCTTTTTCTAATTACATTAAATGTGAATTTAGACTATTGATTTGGGATTGTTCTTCCCTCTTTAAATAGGCCTGAATTGCGATATACTTTCCTCCTAGAACTTTCTTTGCTGCGTCCCACAGAAATTGGGGCATTGAGCTGTTGTCTTCATTTGTCTCTGTATATTGCTTGATCTCTCTTTTAATTTGGTCATTGATCCATTGATTATTTAGGAGCATGTTGTTAAGCCTCCAATGTGTTTGTGAGCCTATTTTCTTCATTGCACAATTTATTTCTAGTTTAATACCTTTGTAATCTGAGAAGTTGGTTGGTACAATTTCAGTCTTTTTGAGTTTTCTGAGGCTCTTTTTATGGCCTAGTATTTGGTCTATTCTGGAAAATGTTCCATGTGCAATTGAGAAGAATGTGTATCCTGCTGCTTTTGGGTAGAGTGTTCTGTAGATGTCTATTAGGTCCATCTGTTCTGATGTGTTGTTCAGTGCCTCTGTGTTCTTACTTATTTTTTGTCTTGCTAATCTGTTCTTTGGAGTGAGTGGCGTGTTGAAGTCTCCTAAAGTGAATGCATTGTATTCTATTTCCCCCTTTAATTCTGTTAATACCTATTTCACATATGTAGGTTTTCCTATGTTGGTGCATAGATATTTATAATAGTTATATCCTCTTGTTGGACTGACCCCTTTATCATTATATAATGTCTTTCTTTGTCTTATGTTGACTTTCTTTGTTTTGAAGTCTGTTTTATCTGATACAAGTATTGCAACTCTTGCTTTTTTCTCCATATTGTTTGCATGAAATATCTTTTTCCATCCCTTCACTTTTTGTGTGTGTATGTCTTTGGGTTTGAAGTGAGTCTCTTGTAGGCAGCATATAGATGGGTCTTGCTTTTTTATCCATTCAGTGCCTCTGTGTCTTTTGATTGGTGCATTCAGACCATTTACATTTAGGGGGATTATTGATTGATATGTACTTATTGCCATTGTAGGCTTTGGATTCGTGGTTACCAAAGGTTCAAGGACAGCTTCTTTACTATCTAACCATCCAACTTAACTCGCTTATTACACTATTATAAACACAATCTGAAGATTCTTTTTTCTCTCCCTTTGTTTTCTTCCTCCTCCACTCTTTATGTGTTAGGTGTTATATTCTGTACTCTTTGTGTATCCCTTGACTGAGTTTGTTGGTAGCTGATTTAGTTTAGCATTTGGTTAGTAATTAATTGGTCTACTTCCTTTACTGTGGTTTTATTTTCTCTGGTGACAGCTATTTAGCCTTAGGCATACTTCTATCTAGAGCAGTCCCTTTAAGATGCACCATAGATATGGTTTGTGAGAGGTAAATTCCCTCAACTTTTGCTTATCTGTAAATTGCTTAATCCCTTCTTCAAATTTATGTCATCATCTTTCCTGGTAGAGTGTTCTTGGTTTGAGGTCCCTGTGTTTCATTGCATTAAATATATCATACTGCTCCCTTCTGGCCTGTAAGGTTTGTGCTGAGAAGTCTAATGGTAGCCTGATGGGTTTTCCTTTGTATGTGATCTTTTTTCTCTCTCTGGCGGCTTTTAATACTCTGTAGTTTTCCTTGATCTTTGCCATTTTAATTATTATATGTCTTGGTGTTATCTTCCTTGGGTCCCTTGTGTTGGGAGATCTGTGCTCCTCCATGGCCTGAGAGGCTGTTTCCTTCCCCAGATTGGGGAAGTTTTCAGCAATTATTTCTTCAAAGACATTTCTGTCCTTTTCTGTCTCTTCTTCTTCTGGTACCCCTATAAATGCAAATATTGTTCCGTTTGGATTGGCCACACAATTCTCTTAATATTCTTTCATTCCTATAGATCCTTTTTTCTCTCTCTGCCTTAGCTGCTTTTTATTTCTGTTCTCTAATTTCTATTCCATTTACTGTCTCGTCTGCCTCGTCTAATCTGCTTTTAAATCCCTCCATTGTATGTTTCATTTCAGCTACTGTATTTTTTTAAGGTCTCTGTTTCCCTCATGAATTCATTCCTTATTAGCTCTTAAATATTTTTTTGTAGCTCCATTAGCATGCGTATGACTTTTGTTTTGAATTCTTTTTCTGAATTGGTGATTTCAGTCTCACTGAGCCCTCTTTCTGGTGTTTGAGGGATTTTTGTATTGAATAAAGTTCCTCTGCCTTTTCATAATCCTATTGGATATTGAGAAATATTAGGTTTGTGTAGGTGGTGCCCTCCAATGCCTGGAAACTGCTCTTCGGAGCTTCCCAATACCTGGAGTGATGGCCGTGGTTGCAGGCCAGCGATGCCAGTGCCTACCCTCTAAACAGTGAGCCCTTTCCTGCTTACTGGCTGCAGTGCCTGTCTCCACTGTCAGGACAAGTGAGCTGCATGCAGCCCTCTGTATTAAGGGCCCTAAGCTGCCATAGGCAAGGCTGCCCTCTGACTGGCATGGAGCAATAGCAGGGGTCACTGGCAAGCGGTGCGGGTGCCTGCTGGGAGGACTGAGCCCTTTCTTGCTTGCTGGCCGCAGTGCCTGCCTCCACTGTCAGGGCCAGTGAGCCACATGCATGGGGCAGCTTCTTTGTTAAGCTGTGTAGTTGCTGTAGATGGGGCTGCCCTCCACCTGGCCTTGAACAGTGTTGGGGGCAGTGGGTTTGTGCGCAGGTACCAGTGGGGAGAAAGGATCAGCAGACTGCTTAACACCATGGGGGCGCCTTGGAGCTGCATTGCCAGCTAAAGAGATGGAGCATCTAAAACTCCTAAAAGTTCCCAACCTGCTGGGCTTAGTGTGCCAGGACAAATCTCTCCACCTGTTCCTTCTACTGAAACCTTGCCCCTTTAGCACCCCTCTCACTGTTGGGAAGTCTTTCAAAGCACCCACCTTTCTTTTGTCCCAGGGCAGCTGGTTGTGGGAACCAGTCTTAGTCTCTGACTTCAGTTTCAGCCCATCTAATCTCCCAAGCACTGTGCAATATAGGTTTGTGCTCCTAAAGTAGATTTATAGGGCTGGGTATTTAGCAGTCGAGCTTTTACTCCCTCCCTGCTCTGGTTCTCTTCCTCCCACCAGTGAGCTGGGGTTGGGTGAGTGCTTGGGTCCCACTGGTTATTACTTTATCCTTTTCTGTGAGATGTTCTCTTTTCACCTATGTAGACTGGCTGGTGCAATCTTATTTCTGGTCACTTTTTTAGGAATAGTTGTATTTGCTGTATTTTTGTATTATATGTGGTTTTGGGAGGAGATTTCTGCCTCACTGCTCATGCCACCATCTTTTTTCCTCCTCCCTGACAGTGGTATCTTTATTTTACCAGGACACACAGCTCTATGGGAAACCAATGATTCTTTATTTTATTTAAGCAGTTTTTTAAAAAATTGAGATACATAAACGCACTAATCTTAGTGTACAGCTTGATGAAATTTTGACATGTATATACACTTATATAACCATCAACCAGATCAAGATATTAAACATTCTCAGTAATTTTTTTCCCTTTACCTATTCCATCTCCCATTTCTCTGTAGTTTTTAAACATTATCATTATTTACTTGATTATTTCTCTTGTTTTGGACATTTAGGGTTTTGTGCCAATTTTTACTATTTTAAATAATATTGTAAAGAAAGTCTTTGGGTATAAATTTTGGTGTTCAGCAAATCTTTTTCCCATGAAAGGCAGTATAACTTAAATGTAGTCTGTGGAGCCTTAACAGCTAGGTTCAAATTCTGGTGTCCTCTCCTACTAGCTTTGTGACCTTGGGATTAATTTCTTGCACCTCAGTTTCCTTATCTGTGAAATGGGGTGTACTAGTATCTACACATTGAAGTAATTCATGTAAAATCCTTAGAAAAGTGCCTGTGAATGTTAATTAAGTGTCATAACTAGATTCCTGCAAGAATGGTTACTATGACAAAGAATGTGGATGTTTTTATTCAACAAATATATATGGCCAGATCTTATATAGTCTTTTGAATTATACTTATAAATTATCCCAAAGTATGGCAGATAATGCCTCATTTTATATTTCTCTGAGAAATAAGATCATATAAGCAGAAAGTGCCCTCTTGGGAATAATTTTTTTATTGACTGAGGAAATATATGGTTTGATTTCAACTCCTGCTTTTCATGCAAGTAGCTATAAAGAGTGAGTTTCAAGGAACAAACTAGATGCTTTATTATTTGATTCTTGATATTGCTGTGGTTGTATATATAGCTGAGTAACAGTACAGGACTGTTTGACCTAGTAATTGTCTCTCTTTACATTCTTTTTCTTTTTCAGGGTAAAGAGCAGGAACATACATTTGTCTTTAGACTGGATCATCCGAAAGCATGCAAACATTTATGGAAATGTGCTGTGGAGCATCATGCATTCTTCCGTCTTCGAGGTCCTGTACAAAAGAGTTCTCATCGATCAGGATTTATTCGACTAGGATCACGATTTAGATATAGGTTAATGTCAATAGCTGTGCTTGCTCTATCTTTCATTCTGTTGTAGAGGCCAAAAATTTAGTCCAACCCCTTCATTTTACAGATGTGGAAACTAAAGCTTAGGGAAATAGGTTGGTTTGCTGATGTTTTCCATTGGACAAAATAAAAGAAAAAGTATTATTATTGCTTGTAATTTGCTGGATAGATAGGAAAACCTTGTAATGGTGTAATGGATTTTGTATTCCTTTTGACATTTATTTCATGTGTTAACAAAGCCTTAGTTTAAATCCATATAACAAGAGTTTTATGGACTTTCCATCCAGCAGTTAGATATATAGAAAAAGGGTGTCCTGCACTGAGTGGGGAATTAAACTGGACAACATTTCTGGTCCTTTGTAAACCTGAAGTTCCATTATTCTTACTCCTTGTTTGTTGGTCGTTAGTTAAAAATGATTTGGCTTACCTGAGAGTGGATTAGTGATTGTGAGTTTTCTGTATGTCATGAGAATCAGGTGGTATGATTTAAAGAAGGAATGGATAATACCGGTAATATGGCAAGTTGATTGCATAGGATTTATGTAAGAGAACTTCTATCTATATAAAAAGTGGGAAGGCATTTTCTTAGTAATTTAAATAGAAATCAAGGAGAATGGGACAAGAGTTTTTAATCTGTCTGAAAAATTATTCTGAAAAGTGTATCACAATTAGAAAAATTGAATGAAAATCTTGAGTTAATTGCTTGCTTTTCATTGGAGGGGTGCAAATGGGGAGTGGAAGGGAGTTCCATAAAAACACAAATCTTCAAAATTTATTTAATATGTTCTTCAGTGATGTGCATGCTTAAGAAAAAAAACAGTATAATCTGTGTATTGCATATTTCACACAAGCCTAAAGAGTGAAAGAATGCTATCGTAGAGAGCAACGTCAAGATTATTAAAGGCTGTAGTTCCTTTAGATGATCTTCAAGATGATTCTTTTAAGGAGAACCTCAATGTAGACTTTCTCTTATGTGTATCTGATTGCTGTAGGCCTCACATTCTTTTCCTGTTTATATGCCTCATTTATTTTAGTGGGAAAACTGAGTACCAGACCACAAAAACCAATAAAGCAAGAAGATCAACATCCTTTGAAAGAAGGCCCAGCAAACGATATTCTCGACGAACCCTGCAAATGAAAGGTGAACTATAACTGTTTCAAAGGACTGTTCTTGGTATATCATCATATGCTGGTACTGTTTACTTGAGAGGAAGTTGTCTGAATCTTAAGTCTATTCCACTCAACTAAAGTCACCCTTATTTATTGACTTTGGTTCTGGCATAATCAATTTAATAAAATACAAGGGGAGAAATTGCCTGTATTGTTTGTTGCTGAGATTACGCTTTATGTTAATCCCAGCTCAGACACTATTTGGAGTTTGTGTTCAATTTTTGTTCATATCAACTATTTAATTCTTCTGTAGAGCAATCATTTCCTTCCGTTTTAGACTTCTAGCTCTCATTCATTATAATCTTGAAAATCCTCTTAGGAACTTTTAAAAACATTGGTATATGATGAATAAATTTTAAGTTCAGATTACTTATTTCATATATTATTTTTAAGGTTTCTGTTAGTGTTTAAGCTTAATCATCAGTACATATTTAAGTTACTTTGATTATGTAATAAAAAAGCATGGTTTACTTTGACAAATCAACTAGAACTTGTGTTTGGTTTCAAATCTGAGTTTGTATTAAAATACAGATTGAATTGTCAGTATGTCCAGTGTCAGGGTCATCACCAGTTGTCCAAAAATAAACACCATAACCTGATAATTTGGCAATATCACTTTTTTTAAAAACTGATTTATACTCATAATTTCTGGTATGGCTATAAATTAAATAATATATGAATGAAACCATGTTAACTTTTGATGGTTTAAAATCCTAAGTTACATCTTATTTTCCCTTGACAAACGTTCATTGTCACTGAGCCCTAAGAGGCTTGCAGATGATTCTGTTTTAGAAGAGATGTATGCTTATTTTACTGCTTTACTTAAAAAATGGAAATTGGTCATTCTTGACTTCAATCATGTGAACCCTAGAACACTTTTTCTGAAAAGAAGGTTTTTAAATCTATAGTTTGGAAACGTTGCTTGCAAAACAACTAGTTCAAATTTACTTTGATGAATAGTGGAGCAGTTTATCATGTAAGAGGAAACTAATGAGGTGTTTTCTTTTTTTCTTCTGTCAGCAAGTACAGCAAAACCTGAAGAACTCAGGTGAGTAATGCCTTGCAACGTAGGAACTTAAGAATTGGTACAGGATGTTTTAGAATTTATGTGGTTGTCATTAATTAAATATTGTTGACTATGTATCAAATTGAATTGTCCCTAAGTACTGGGGATATAGGAACAAAGAAACACATAATGCCAGGTAAAACTGACAGAAAGAAAAACAAAGCAGTTTAAAGAAAGAAAGAGTGCGGTGGGGGAGGGGGAGTGGATATGCTATTTATAATGAGAATGACATACTCATTGTCATTGGTATATGACTGAGGGTATAAAGATGAATCAATTATGGTCTTTGCACATAAGGAGCTCAAAGAACCAAGGTTCATTTGCAGATAAGCAGTTTTATTCCTGAGATAAATCCCACTTGGTCATGGTGTATAATCTTTATATGTTGCTGGATATTTGGTCACTGGGATTTTGTTGTGGGTTTGTCTATCAACATTCATCAGAGATGATGTGGTCCACAGTTTTCTTGTAGTGTCTTCATCTGGTTTTGGTATCAGGGAAATACTTAGTTTTACAGAATGAATTGAGAAATGTTTCATTCTCACCTATTTTGGGAGAAGAATTTGTAAATATTTATTATGTTAATTTAAATGTATGGTAGAATTTACTGTTAAAGTCATCTTGCCTGGCCTTTTCTTTCTGTGAAGTTTTAAAATTATTAATTCAATCTCTTGTCATAGAGATGACAAGGATTAGTTTAGTAAAGGATACAAGTTAACAGCCAGATGAAAAGAGACATAGGGAAAGGACCCAAATAAAGGAACTTCTATCCTGGTGGAGCTTGGGGCCTGGTTCGGTGGCACGTGGAGGCATTCTTTTTCCCCAAGCATAGAAGCTCTCCCCAGCTGAGAAGCAGGATCCAACCGAACAGAGCAGAGCAATAAGCTCTACTTATAGGGGTTTGTGAGGGCTTCATTGCAGTCACTGCTTGACTAAATTATTGGCCATTGGCTGATTAAGCCTCTAGCCCCTGCCCTGGGTGGGGTCCAAAAGTCTCTCATTAACATGACAAAACACCTGTTTCACCTTTTAGACTCTGCAGTGTTTTCAGGAATTGTGGATGAAGACCAGTATACCTGGGAAATAAATATTTTGTCATCCAAATATGTATTTCTTAGGACTCATTATATCACAGCTTTTCAGAAAAAGGATGGAGAAATGTTAAAGGTTTTGTATATTTTCTAAGCTATTTTATTTGTTTTCTGTTTGTTTAGTGGATCAGGCCTTGCTTTCCTGAAAGGGAGTCTGGGACAGAGTATTAAAACTTAAAGTACCTGGTGAAGTTAGCAGAAATGTAAACAGAGTATTTAAGCAATGATATATAGTTGGAAAATTAAGGATTTTATATTTAAGAGTTTGTCCTCCTTTAGAAAGTTTTTGAAATACACATTTCTGACCAAAAAGTGAGAATGAACATAGTCTCTTTCCTAGAATGAAGATTAATTTAACTTTAACAACTAAATTTTATCGTTTCTTCTTGAGCAATGCTTTTGGCTCTGGAAAACAGCAGAAATGGGATATTTAAGTGATGCTACTTTATTACTCTTTTATTAAAATAAACTTTAGAATGAGAAGTAGAGGGGGGACCCAGCTCTACTGAAGGTTATGGAGCATAACAGTGCTGGAATGAACCTGAGCTTGGACTGGTACAAGTGCCCTTTCATTCCTGCCTTTGTAGGCTGTGTGCATGAGCTGTTCTGCACCAGTGAGCCATGGAAAACAGTACTGTTTTAAAAAGCACAACTATTTGACCTAAAAAGTTTTTGTCCTTATACTGTGCCTATTTGAATAACAGATTTTTTAATTGGCTGATGTCAGTCATTTTTCTTGTACTGTATTATCCCCTCCTAACTACTTCCTTGTGAGTCTTGACATTTGTAAAGTATCCTAAGAAGACATGGTATTTGAAGGGTGGTTCATATTTCAATTACCAGTATTCTTTGTACAGGCTTAGTGGACAGAATCTTGAAATTAGCAGGCAGAAAAGAGAAGGCAAGACATGGAGAAAATGGGAAATAGAGGGGGTGGGGATAAGAGGAAAAGGGATCAGTTATTACAGGTAGTCCTTTGAAAGGGGTGAGCTTCCATTAGGTCACTAATTAGAAGTGTTCATTCCTACTTTCATATTAGTGGAGGTAAAATAATTTGTATTATTATGAGAAAATAGTGCTTTCTACATTCCAGGTTGTGTGAAAAGAGGGAGCTATGATGCAATTAGCATCACTTCTTATAAGCACCTTTTTCTCATATTATTCCTTTTTTTTCTGCTCAAAAAGGATATTTTATTTGCAGTCAAGAATACAACAAAGACTGTGTAAGGCTCGTCTTTAAACTGAGCTCTTAGTGGCAAAGTGTCATCCTGAAGGGAACTGAAGCATCCTAAATTTTGAGAGTCTGGGTTTAGGTCGAAGAGGTCTGTGTGGTATAGTCAGTCTGTGGTGGTGGCAACATCAAATCGCTCAGCAGGTGTGGCAGCTCCTTGTGGGCTCCTGTGTGTCTCCCTGGTCTTCATTTGAGCAGCTGAGTCTTCAGGGATTTTACCCTTTCCGTCAAGCTTTAGTACCGCTGTTTTTCATCAAAAGCACACTTATGATGAATAAGAACTGCCTTCACATTTTTTTATTGGTACTTGATCTTCCAGAATTATCTTCTTTAGCCTTCAAGATTCCTTCTGTTACCTGTTTCCCCAAACTTTCCTTTCTGAAATGCCACCTCTCCATAAAGTTATGGTACTTGTTTTTCCCCAGTGACTTTCCCTGGTCTCAGGAAGAGTGCACGTAGCTCTCTTCCTGCTCTGGTTTCTTCCGTCAGTTAAGTGGGTCTTGGTCTGCCATTCAATTGTGTAGATAGTCCTGATTTTGTATGCTCAGGTAAGACCTTTAACTTCAAATGACTTTGAACTTCAAATGACTTTGACTTTCTTTATTTCATTTGATCTAAATATTTTCTGCAGTTGCTCTCCCCTTGCATTTTACTTCATAAATTCTTCATCTGCTTGTGACTTGAGCGTTGTGGTTTTTGGTTTAGCATCTTTTCTGTCCTGTAATGGCTTAACGGTGGTCCCTTTCTTGGCCTGAATGGGTCCTCTCTGGAGAGGTGAGGTCTGAATGTGACTTAAGTCTTCTCTTTTGTTGATACTGCAGTTGCAAAGGAATGGGAGAACTCTGATTTTGGAGACCCTCCTTTGCCTTTGCTTATCACTTGAGGATCAGCTTCTGAGCTGCCTCTCCTCATCAGACTGAGACTTTCTAGTTGTTTATTTGTGACCCAGTGGAGTTGCTCCCTGCTAGAAGAAAAGCTGCAGAGAGTATCTAACAGAATCATAAAGTAGTGAGTTGAAAATCTGTAAGCAAATTGGAAGAGATTTCATAATATTTAGGATTATGAGTTGCTTAAACCAACATAATGTATTCTGGAAAGAGCAACATGATTAGCAAAATAATGCCTGACTGGTGTATTCTTTACAATTGTCTTGGCAGCAGATCTGTACAAATAATATTTTTCTTAAGGTTTTTTTTTTATCACTGTTCTTTGTGCTTTGCTAATATTAATTCATTTAATTCTCCTAACAGTCTCACTCATGCAGATGAGAAACCTGAGGCTCAGAGAACAGAGCTAGTGGCACAGCTTGGATTTGAACCCAGACAATGATAGTGCATGTTCTGGCAACTCAACTCATAACAGAGATGTAGTTAATAAAATGTAAGATATAAAACAGATTCACAACTCATCACCCAGCCTTTTAGCAAGGCCTCTGAATTCTTGAATTCTTTCATTGGTTGTCTTTCATCATAATTCTTGTTTTGCTCTCACTCCTTGAAGAAAGGCTTCCTGGATGCTGTGTTCAGAGTTCCAGAATGATATCTTGCTGGGTACAATATGCTTACATATTGCTGTGGGGAAGTCTGTGCCGACCTGACACAGTGATCTGCTATTAAATGTCCCTTGGGTGCCTAAGTATTCTTTCCTTTATCCTTGAACTCAGTAATTTAACAAGAAGAAATTGAATGTATTTAGTTCTATATTTCATTTTCCTGAAACACAGTGAATGCTCTCATTAAATCTGTAGGTTATTTTCTCACTTTCAAGGAATTTTTTTTATGACTTGAATTTATTTTTAGTTACCTTAGTTAAATTCTTCACCTCATGATACTTAATTATGCTTATGTTAGAAGGTCTGAAGTCAGTAAACTACTTTTTCCTTAAATTTTGTTGGGCTAATATCTCATCTGTGAGTTTTTTCACTGAATATTTGGTTTTTTTTAGCTGTTCTGAGGTTTGTTTCTATTTTTGGTGTTATAAATCTAGTTAAGTGCTTTTTTTTTTTCTTAGGAGGTGGGGTCAGGGAGTGAAATGAGTGCAGCCTAAATCTACATTTGAAAGCATACCTACAAATCATTTGGAGGAGAAGGGATGGGATACAGAGAAGTTTCTAAATTAGGTCTTTTGAGTTACAAAATACTGAGCTGTTGCTGACACTGGAAAATCTTGAGAAGATGGGAATATACAGAAGTAACAGATAATTTATGTTGGTATTTTTGCTTAATGTCTTGAATTTAAAGAATCATTTATGCTGCTGTCTGTATTTTGCTGTGTTTGATAGATATTGACCAATGAATAAACAAAATTAGTAGTGAAGTATACATCTAAGCACAACAGGTATACAGAAATATCAAATGAACAGACTATAGAAAAGCAAGTGTTTGCCTATAAAAGAAGTACTTTCTGGGCATCTTACAGTCTGAGTTTAAGTACCAGCTGTAACTTTAACAAAATAATGTCCTTTAAAATAAAGCTACTTTCATTAGTGTATGTATCTTACAATGTGAAGCACTAGAATGTTATATATGGTTTCCTTATAATAGATTTTTTTCCCATATTACAGTGTTCACAAGAATGTTTCAACTCAGAGTAATGGCTCCCAACAGGTAAGACAATGGTAAGCTTCTGAAGCACTAGAACACTGTAATTAATTATGACAAACAGTATTATTAATTGAATTTTCATAGTGGTATAATCTTGGGAAGATTTTCTGCATTTTATTATTTATAAAGTGGCCCAATATGTGAAACTCTTTTGCTATTTTATCTAAGATATTGTAAATAGAACAAGTGCTCTATAAAACATTTTCTGTCCCTGTAAATCCTGTAAAATGAATAAAATATTAATAGTTAGATTATTATCTGTCTCTAAGGTGGAGATAATATGCAAGCATTTGTTTACATTATCTTTCTTCACTATGTAGGTACTATTACATTTTAATGTTCTGTTTATGTGAAGAAATCTTTTATTGAGGCAAAACAGATGATTTTTGTAATTTGTGCCCGAAGGTTTTGGGTATGAGATCTACTCTGCCTATGATTCCTTCTGTACCCTCTGGTCCTGTGCTGGTGGAGATAGAGAATCTTCCACGGAGTCCTGGAACAGACCAGCATGGCAGGAAATGGTTTGTTAATGCCTTAAACCAAAATAAAGTATTGCTTAATGGTATTTAAAATTCGTAGCCGTAATCTTAGAGCACTTTAAATATGACTGAAAGCAAATTATTCATATTTGTAAGCTGAAAATAAGCATATAATTGAGCAGTCATATTGGAATGAGGAAAATAAGGCATATGGATGAAGAAGGAATGCAGTTGTCTAAAGAACACCAGACAGCTCTCCTAAAATATTTTGGTTAGTATGATTTGGGAGTGGTGGGACTGGTTCTCTGTTGAAAAGGAAGTCGGTGCTAGTTGAAAGAACCATTTCCCAGATCATAAGAATTACGTTTGTTACATGCTTCTCAAGCACCATGACGCTACTGCTTTGGATGTGTTTCTTTCATTAAAGACTGAAGATAAAGCCAAAAAGGAAATTGAGTGTAGTTCAATAAAAGAAAGCATGAAGTACTCCATTTTGGGGATGGAGAGAGAGTCTGATGACAGGAAAGATGCTTCATTTATTTAAGTTTACAGAGTCTTTTTGTAGATTAATAGTAAGTGTACAAATATGGATACTTTGTGGCTTATTGGGGTTAATCTGTGGGGTTCATCCTTTCCCAAATAAATATATGTGGCTTGAGGGACTCCTAGAGAATTATTTGATTGAGTGAACATGTGGGTTGCATCATCTGTTCATATTTTGTGTCTGTTTATGAAATGAATTTTGATAATTCATAGGATTTTTTTCTTTTTTTCTTGCTCTTAGTTTGTTTAGTACCTGAATCTAATGAGTTTCTGTGGTGATCTCAAGGTTTTGGTCAGCTTTCTGTGCAGCCAGTTCTCCCTTCCTGGTGGTGGGTCAACAGTGGTTGGTGATTATTTTCAGTCTTTGCTATGTAATTGTTTTTCACTGTTATTTTTGCTTAACTAACTGCAGGGTGCTTTGCTCTTGAGGGTTGGGCATATTTTTATGTCAGTTCCAAATAACTTGATTAGTTTCTAAGATTGAGGGGATTTCTTTTTTCCTATATCCTTTTTTTCACCCTTCCTACTTGAGAGTGTGCCAGGAGTACATTGTGTGTGTGTGTGTGTGTGTGTGTGTGTGTGTGTGTGTGTGTGTTTGTGCATGTGAGCACACACTTAAAATATAAACAGTCAGACTTCTAAATGTTAAATTTTTGTCTTTATTTTTTCAAGTCATTAAAAAGAGTTTCTTCAGTTTCTTAACTGAAAACACAGCTCCAGTAAGCAGCTATGTTTTATCTCCTTGATGTTACCACCAAGTCCTTTGGCAAAGAAGCATAGTACTGAGACTTCAGCTATAAAAGAACTCCCTTAAGACTGGACTTGCCTACCTTTTATGTTAGTTAATATGGAATGAGAATCTGGTTTTTTTGCATCCTGTATTCACTAAATATTATGTTTTCTAATTTTAATGGGTTCATATTGAAATTTATTTGATTTGGTTTGTTAGGCACTACTCAGTTCCTTTGCAGCCTTTAGAAAGAGAATATTGAATTAGAGTATTGAATTCCAAAAAAATGAAAAATTTGGAGCTGTGTGTCCTTCCTTTATGTAGTTGTGCTGAGACCTCCTTTGCTGAAAAGAAGTAGAATGGTGATCCTTAAAGCCTAAGAGCCTCAGTGTGCATCAGCAGTGGCATGGAATTGAATATAGAACTGACACATCTTGGAGCTAATGGATTCCCCAGCCTTAATTTAAAGTGCATTCTGCATTTCATTCTTTGTTTCTGCATGCTTTGATTGTTATTAATACTTTTAAATGAATATAAAACAGTCCTCCTTTAGAAAATAACAATATAATTTGGAAATTCTCCCTACATTTGAATATTTGGGCAGAGTAATAGACTTCTTTTTCTTGCTGGTATCTTCTGAATAACACCATTATTTCAGTGAATGATCTGATACAACAATAACTCAGAATTATTTAGTATTTAGAGTATCACCTTTTGAGAAATGGTTTATGTATTTTAAATGCATAAGCCATTTATAAACAATAGCAAAAGCAAAGCTGATACATCTTGCATGTATAAAGGAGAACATAAACCTAATTTAATTTTGTAAATTTTCTGAGACCCTGTCTTGTAGGTCATTAATTTTGTGGATTAGATTTGACGAACAAATTGTATCTCAGTTGAAGGAAAGATGATGATTTTATTGTAAAAAAAGTCTTCCAAGTTTGTTCTGAAAAATCCTTTTAACTAATTTTGTCTCAGTTTCCCTAAGGAAAAAAGATAAGATTCATGTTTTGATTGAGTTGAAGATACTATATTTAATAATTATCCTTAGACATTTGTTGTAATTGGAGTGATGTTTTTTCCTCTGTACTTATCTTAAATATGTGCTGCCCTTTTTGTCATGTCATAAAACTTTGGTTTTCTGAATTTAGCAAATGTTTGCTTTCTACTGGAGGACTCTGACCATTCTAACCAGGACCTGCTTGTGTGCACGTTTCATTCACATAGCTCTATATGCCTGTTCTATAGCACTGTGTGTTGAAAGGTATCTCATATACTTACTAAACTATTTCTTGGAAGGGGCTTACAATCTCATCACATTATCTGTACCTGTTGAATTTCATTCTGAGGTTCTGTATACTTTGATTATGCAAGGAACAGTGATTCTCTGTTGTTTTAAACATTGATGTAAAATTACATGACCTCTGAGGGTAGTTTTCTTTTAAATGCTCTTTTGTATTTTGTTTCCTGGATTTCAGTTTTGTGAAATCACTTAATTTGGGGAATAATTTTCACAATTGCCCTTTTCTTATGTGCCTTTGTCCTTCGTAGACTTGTCCTTTAAAGTATTTGAATTAAGTAAGTTATGAATAGTTTTTCTTCTCATTAGAATCTCAACATTTCTGTCTTCGATTTTGGTAGCAGCATATAGATAAAGTGTCTTGCTTTCTTTAATTTTCTCTAACTCACTTAACTGACTCTGACCACTTTATTTCCATATTGACATTTTCTACTACATATAACTTGTGGATCCTCCCCGCTTTGCTATTCTCAATGGCTGTCATTGCATGGAGATGTTGATAACTACTCATAGCAGCAGTGCATGCTGGTCACATTGCCTTTCTCCTTTATTACCTCTTACACACCCATTTCTCCTGTTTCTGTTGACTAACTGTGCTCCCCTCCCACTCCCCAACCATCCAGGCTCTCTGCTGCCAGTGACTGCTGTCAACGTGGTGGAAACCAGTGGAACACAAGGGCCTTGTCCCCATCCCAGCCTGCACATAGAAACTACACTGACTTTGTCCATGAGCACAATGTGAAGAATGCAGGAGTCCATCCTGATGTTCATTTTCCTGGCCATGCAGCCATGACTGAGATATGAGGGTTAACACTTAGGCACTGGAACTGTTTGTCATGTAAGCCGATGGTATACAAGTTGATGGTATATATTTTCTAGTGTTTGTAGAGGATTGGCCACATTAGGAGAACTTGGGAGAAGTTACTTTATATTGTGTCACTAGTTATGTCATGTTTGTAATTAAATTCTGTGGAAGGGAAAAGGATCTGAGGAAGCTATGAGGCCATCAATGATAATGACAATGTTTTTGTGCTGGAAATAATATGTGTACCATTGTAATTTTGGGAGGGTTTTTTCATGACTTTAACATGTTAACATCTCACTCAGAAGATGTCTCAGGAGAAGGTTTATGTTTGTCAGCAAGCTGCCCACCTGCCCCATGCCATCCAAATATACTGAGGTTAAAAGAATCAATCAGACACACTTAAAGCAAACTCAATAGGAGGCATGTCCAGGTATGATATATCATCCTTTATTGATATTTTTATAAAACTGCTCTTATATACTATTTTTAATATTTCTAAAGTGACCCATGCCTTAATTTTAAGTGCCTAAGATTCTATAATATTAATTAATGTAATTTTTAATTAAAAACAGTTACTTTTTAATAAACACAAGTATTTTAGTTTACCGAAAGATCTAGAAATAACATTAATAATGTGATCTGTGTAGAGAGAGAAATCTGAATGATTACTTTTGCATGATCAGCTAGTTGGACTAATGGTTAAACTGTGAATGGTTACATTCCTACTGAATGGTTGTTCAAAATGGAAAGATGTATTTACTTGTGTCTTTTTACTTTTTTCTTTCACCTCATGGCATTTGATATATTTCCCAGGTTTGCAACATCCTTACAACCTGGCCTTGTATGACTTTAAAATAAAATTCTGAAGCCAAAACCATATCATTTTTAAATGGATTGGATATATTACCATTTTTGGTCCCTCATGAACTTTAGAATGTAATTATCCAAGTTCTTTGGTTTAATTCATAGAGGTAAATTAGATGAAAAAAGTACACTTCTGGTTTAATGGGAACTTATATAGGGAAACCTTTTTTTACATCTTTTTACAGTTTTAAAATATTTTAGCCAAATTTTCAAACTTTTAAACCATTTATATAGTAATTTGAAGATATTTTATAGTCTGAGAATTCATAATCTTCGAGATAATGAAGCTTCATTATCAACATCCTCTAACCTGATTACTCAGAAGTCAGGCTTATCTATGCTAGACTAAGATAAAGGTTTCAGTGGGTTTTATTACTGCACTCTTCGTTGCAAATATAATACAGCTTATCCACAGAAGACCTAAGTAAGCAGAACTAAGTAGTATTTAGGGAATGAAAGGTTTCAATCAGAGTTTACAACCATATATTAAGTGGTATTCTCAAATTATTCTTAAGCACATCCTTGTAATTATAAACATTGATATCTTAAATAGCCTACCTTCTTACTTCTTTAAGTCTAGTATTATTTAGCAGGCTTAAAAATGGCCACTAATATATGTCTGTGATAGTAGTTTCAGACTTTACATAGCTCAGATCGTAACTGTCAAGTATGGCCAGTGGTGATTTCTTTCCTTGAAAGAAAGTAAGTATATTTTAATCACCAAAACCCTGGTTTGTGCCATTCAAGAAAAAATTTTGTGGGTAAGAATATAATTAAGAACCTTTTATTTCTGTAAT